GAATGATTTGAATAAGTTTCTGACTATTTAACTAACCCCTGTTAACAATAAGTGTTAATTAGGTGTCAACGATAGCCATGTGATGTGAGTATCAGTCACATGGAGGCAGTGCTTAAAAGCCTGAATTTTGCCTGAAACTCAGACTGAAGAAGTCTCTTGGAGGAGAGACGAAACGTTTCATTAGAGAAGAACCCATCCAGAAGACCTATACAATTTTTTTCCCCTATGACTTCTCATCCAACAAGGCTCTCTTCAAACATCTGATACATTGTCGAGTGAAACAAACAACTATCTATCCTTCTAACACTGTGGTTATATGCTTATCTAAGCGTGACGTGTGCTACATTTAGAGTTGTGAGATTATGGTAAGTTATCCCCCATGTCTACTATACTAGTGTAAACTGTTAGAAAAAGGACTTCCTGAATGACAATCACTAATTAGCTGTCTTATATCTTGTTGAAGCATAAACCAGGCCTTTTTCCAACCCTAACCAACCACCTAACTAAACTTGGCCCTAACCTAAACTCAATTCAGTTTAGTCCTAAACCTAGCTCCTGACCCAAAGATGACTTTCCACCATATTAGGATCGAGCTTTGGTCCCCAAAAGGACTGCTGCTCATGACCAGGTAGGTGTTTATAAGAGAAAATGTCTTACAAAGGTAACAAAAACCACACAAGCATCATGAAACCTTTGCCTTTTTTAAAATCAAAAACATCCATCCATCTATTATCTATACCCGCTTATTCCTTTCAGGGTCACAGGGATCACTGGTGCCCATATGCAGCAGTCACGGCGGGGTACAGCCTGGACAGGTCGCAACTAGGGCTGCCACAAACGATTATTTTTATAGTCGACTAATCACCGATTATTATTATTTTGATTAGTCGACTAATCAGATCATACGTTAATTGAATATAAAACATAGAGCTTATCGCGCCAGAATGCAGCTGCTATTATATAACCATGGTTAGATTTTAGCTATATGCTAACTAAAAATAATGGCCGTGGAAGGCAAGTTCTGCTCTGCAGATATTGCACAGGTTTCTCTTTCATTTTCTTAAAATGATCCCACACTTTTGAGCAAGCCTATTAGGGCCAACCAAAAACATTTTTTTGAAATTCATCTTTACTGTGCCACTGTGAACGAGAGAAAATTAGAATGAAAATTGACCGTTCCAATCACCAACACAGTAGTCGGTGCAGTAAGGTTGGAGAGATGGTTTCATTTAATTATTTGCTTTTCATAGATGATTTGGACCTGCTGTCCGAGGACTATGAGGTGGTGGATCATCGTCTCAAGCTTTTTTTAGACGTGGAGGTCTTCGAAGACGATGAGGAGCTTCACTCTTTCCTGAAGGTTTGTAGGAGTAAGGCACAAACTCGTTGAAGCTTGATTTTTGGCTAAAAGTGTTGTTTGGAATAAACAGAAGAGTGATGATATATTTGTTTTTTATTCTCGTAGTCACATCAAGAAGGGCACTGTCAAAATGTATTTTCAGTGTTTTTAAATCTTAGTAGAATTAGATGCTAATTCAATAAAAAAGTATTAGTTCCAGATCGTGCGCGACAGCTTGTTTACGACAGCTGCTTGTGACTGATTATGCAGTTTGTTATATTTATTGTTTGGTTTTTTGACAAGTTGATGCCCCCTCCTGTTGTCGCCTAACGTTTTTGGAAAGCAAACCATTGTAGAAGGCTTTCAGAGCAGCAGGCGAGCGCTTTTCTCAGTGAGACACCTGGACGAGGAGCAAAGAGCTGCTGAACAGGGCTGAGCAAACCACAGCTGGAAGCAGGACGTCTCGCTCCATTCATCTTAGTTATGCATATTTACCCGCTGACAGCAGCTGCTTTGAATTTTGCTTGTGGTTTTTTCTGTTTCGTGGGTCATTTGAGGGGAAATGATTGAGGTTTGATGTATTTTTTAATGCCCCAAAGAGGAAGGTGGCGTCATCTGAAAAAACTGACGTTAAAAGTTTAGTGTTTAAATTTATAGTCTAACGAGGCCTCGAATAAAAACGTTATTCCCTTATAAAAAAGAACATTTTATAATTCTGTCTTCTTTCTTTTGGATTTTTAGATGTCCGCTGTAAAATTTGGGGAGTCAGAGGAAGTTTCCTCGCTTTTGGTTGTGTCAAACCAGCGAATATATTTTCTGGAAATAACATCAGATACACAGTGAGTAAAGCAAACTGTTTTATTTATTTTATTTGTCCTTAGAACAGATCCACCATATTCACACCTCTTAGCATTTCATTCTACCTTGTTTCTTTGTACCACACCACACCACACCACACCATACCACACCACACCACACCACACCATACCACACCACACCATACCATACCACACCATAC